AAATTGGTCCTCCATCCATACTTGCCAGTGTTGGAATCCACGCCTAAGCTGATGTCCTCCTGTCTTCTTGTTTTCTCTTGCATGACGCTGATCAATGGTGTTCAAACTAAATCGCACATTGAGAGCAGTTAACTGGAGGGTAGGCATCCCTGGAACTCAGTTTACCCACCACGACCAATCTTCTCACAGTGCATAGAAAAGAGCAATCAAAATGATTAAAGGGATGGAGCAAATACACTATGATGAAGGAAGGTTGCAGCATTTAGGAGTTTTCATTAAGAGAAAATGTGAGTAAGGGGTCACATGATAGAAGATTATAAAGTTATGCACAGGGCCGTCTTAAGCATATTCAGCGCTGTGATGCAAAGCTCCCTCCCCCCCCCCATTTCCCAGAGTTGTCAACCTTTTTTTAGGAGGACGGTGCTGTCAGTGGGGCTGGAGGGCGGCTCCTCCGGTGGGGAAGAGGCAGTGGCTGGACGCGGCGCCTCCTGGCTCAGCTGGCCGCTTTGTGCTGCAATGGCCACGGCAGACGGAGGCTCCGGGTGAAGCGCTGCTGCGGCACGGCATGGCGGAGGCGGGCAAGGGTGGCAAGCTGATGCCGGGAGGCACCACGTCCAGCCTCCACCTCTTCCCTGGTGCCCTCCAGAACTTGGCACCCTGGTGCCCCGCGCCACTAGCCTCTATGGGTAAAATGCCCCTGGTTATGCACAGCAAAGAGAAAATAGATGCAGGAAAGGTTTTCTCCCTCTTTCACAACACTAGAACTCATAGACCTTTAATGTAGCTGGATGTTGGAAGATTCCAGGCAGATAAAAGAAAACCATTCCTCATGCTGTGCATAAAATAAAATAGAATAAAACTCCCTATATAATAAGAGAATAAGAAGAAAAGGTAACTATAATTCTCATTAATTTGACAGAAGAAAAAGACACATTTATATATATATATATTACTTGTAGGTATATCTGTATACAACAAAAAAATTGAGCTATTTTTAATGAAAATTGACAAAATCTACACAACCGACATGGGCTGCCATATGTCCAGATTTTCCCATACATTTCAGCAATTTCTGCCCAGACGCTGCTTAACGGGGCTGAATACCAGCTATGTCTGGGAAAAATTCTGGACGTATGGCAACCCAATATGAATATATACACACACACACCCGCCAAGGAACCACTTTTGCAAATAAATAAATTGCGGGGCAACAACCCTAGCTGATGACTCACCCCTGCAGGAGGGAGTAATGGCCAACAACTTGGATGGCATGAAAAGAGGTTTGGACTAATCCGTAGAGGGCAATGCAAACAATGGCAACTAGCCATGATGGCTACGCTTGGGCTCCACTGTCAGATCCTGTGGAGACCAGTTGCTGGTGGGGAATGCAGGCAGGCAGAGTGCGGATTGCTTCACATCCACCTTACAGGCTTCCCACAGGCTTCTGGTTTGCTACCATGAGACCAGGAAGCAGGGCTAGCTAGACCTTCTGTTCTCCTGGGAGGTTGGGGTTATTGGCTGCCCTCTCTGCCCCCATGGCAGAGCAGTGAGAATCGGGGACCTCTGCTAAATAAGAAGACATCCCAGATTCCCAGAACATTCATTTGTTTATTTGGGGGGGGCAGGAGAGCTGCTGCTGATCAGTGTAAAGCAGGGGTAGGCAACCTAAGGCCCGCACCTTCTCAATCCAGCCCAGAGACGGTCAGTGAATAAGCGTTTTTACATGAGTAGAATGTGTGCTTTTATTTAAAATGCATCTCTGGATTATTTGTGGGGCATAGGAATTCGTTCATTCCCCCCCCCCCCAAAAAAATATAGTCCAGCCCACCACATGGTCTGAGGGACGGTGGACCGGCCCATGGCTGAAAAAGGTTGCTGACCCCTGGTATAAAGTCTACCCCATAGACAACGTTGAGCCAGATGGAACAACGGTCTGACTCAAATCTATTGCAGATTCTGACTCTGCATAAGGCATGCATCCTCCTTAACATCTGAAAACCAGCTGATACAGATCTCGGGTCTTGTCCCATGAGGAGGGAAAAAATGCCCAGCTGGCTGAAAATTGCTCATGAGACTGTCCACTTGGATGGAGAAGATAAGAAAGAGTGTGACGCGCAGGCTTGTTGCAAGCAAGATTCCGGCAGGACTCTCCACCCTGATGGCCTGTTTGATGTCCAGCCCCAGCTTGCTGAAGACAGTGGGCTGTTCCTTCCTCCCTCCTTGGCCCAGCTCCGGGGTTTGCTTTTGCGTGAAACATCCCCGCTGCCCCAACCTCCCATCGTTGCTCCTGCTGCTGCTTTGATCTCTTACCCAGGACCCCAGGAGGCAAAATATGCGGTTATCATTGGAGAGAATAATAAGGGAAGCCTTTGAGCTGTAGGAAGTGTGTAGGGATGGCGGGGATAGGAGAGGAAGCCGGTGACTGAGGCCTTGTTTACACTGTCAGTTATCCTGAGCAAACACAATTGCTCACGCCTTGCCCCTCTCGGTGGAGTCCGTCATGAGGCATCGCCAGCTGAGGCCAAAGCCAGCTCAGAGCAGCAGAGAGGCCTCAGTTTATTAGGAGAGGCTTGACTCACTTCCGGTTCGTCTGTAGATGACTGGTAACAAAAGGTCCCCAATCTCTTTTTGCCTCTGGCACCTGAGATACATGTTTCTAAGACATTCTTCTTGTTGTTATCATTTGCCATCCTTCCTCCGAGGAGCTCAAGGTGGTATCCATGGTTCTCCTCCTCCTCCTCCTCCTCATTATTATTATTTTATATTATAAATTTATGTATAACTCTCCTTTTTCCCTGACAAGACTCCAGGTGGCTTACAGATAAAATTAAGAACTGGTAAAAATGGGGGGGGGGGGAGAAACCTTAAAAAACAAGTAAACCGGGATAAAATTCGAACTACATACATATATAAAATCTATTAAAACCATACAAATGAATACCTTAAAAGCCAAGGTTCAAGGACAGAAATCTGGCTGAGTCTGGAATAACCTTGTGAAGTGAAAGGATAAGAAAGAGGGATTTATATCTAGATGCTAGGAGATGATAAGGAAAACAGGAAGACACAATGAGAGATAAAGAAGGTGCTGTGGGATTGGTGGAAGGCAATGTTTGTTTTTCTTTTTAATGTTTATATTATTAACTTGTAAGATATGGATTTGGTTTTTTGGTTTTTTTTATGATGGTTTTAGTGTTTTGTGTATTGTTATTTTTTGATATTTTTCGTGTTGTGTGGAAAATACTAATAAAATTTATAATCAAAAAACCCCCATACAAATAATTACAATAAAAACAAGACAGCACCAGCCTTTGCGTCAAAAGCAGTCAGTTCCCCAAAGCCTGTTAGAACGATAAAGTGTTCACCTGCTGTCAGAAGGGCAGCAAGGAGGGAGACAGTCTAGCTTCTCTAGGGAGGGAGTTCCAACGTATGGGAGCAGCTCCCAAGAAGGCTCTCTCCTGTGTCCCTACCAAGTGTTTCCCACGTCACATTTCATTCCCACAATAACCCTGTGCGTAGGTTTGGTTGAGAATCAGTGACCAGCCTAAGGTGAGCTCCATTACTGAGTCAGTTTTGAACCATGGTTTTAAGTGATTTTAAAGTTGCATTTTTACCTTGTTAAACCCCTTTTGACTAAGCCGTGCCCCAATGACCAGCGCAGTCTGGTGGTTAGTGTCTGACTAGAACCTGGGAGACAGGGTTCAAATCCCCATTGAATCATGTGGCTCTCTGGGTGACCTTGGGACGGTCAGGGCCTTTCAGCCTAACCTACCTCACAGGGTTGCTGGGAGAATTAAATGAGGAGGGGGAGAGCCTTGAGCTCTTTGGAGGAAAAATTGGATCTAAAAGTAATAACAAATAAATAGATGGCATAGCACAAGTGTGGGGCAGCACATCAGGTGTGGGGCAGGTACAAACCTAGCTCCACCTAAAGGCGTTTTCCAGACATTGCCAATCAGCTGATGGGTAGGGTCTGAAAACCCCTCTCCCTGAAAGCACTGAGGTAATGCTGAGCAAGGTAATGATGAGCTGATTGTCAGGCCTTAGTAAGCTGTCTTGCAGAGTGCTTCTCAAGTGGGTCTTGCAGAGTGCTTCTCAAGGATCTTCTCAAGGAGGTCTTGCAAGTGCTTCTCAAGGGGCATCTCAAGAGTGTCTTGCAGAGTGCTTTATAAGGGGTTTCTCAAGACAAGTTCAGGGATAAAGAGTCATCTGACATCATTGTGACGTCAAACGATTGACAGGTGAACGGCCTGTCAAACGTCGCCAGCGAGGGATGGGGGAAATAGGCGAAGATCTTTCCTGCAGCTCAGATCCAGTGCCCCTGTGCCCTGCCTGCTGAAGAACCTTCCTCCATGTTTTGCCCCTTCATAGGAGCGACATGTGAAAAACGATATCTAAGGCTGAATTCACACAGCCATTTATTCCATTTTCCAAAGTATTGACTTCTGCATTAGTTTGAGCTTTCAGTTGACGTAAAAGTCACTTCTGAAAAACTAATGGAATTAGTTTAGAAGTTTAGAACTCGTTTCCACGTCATTTGGTTCCAGGAAAAAAATCCATTTACAGACCTTTTTACCTGGAAAATTGTGGGAGTAAAGTGACAAAATCTGGAGCTGGATACTAACATACAGTTCTTCCCTTCTGTTTTTTTAGGGGAATCATACCAGGAAACAGACGCAGGCACGTGCAGAAAGAGTTGGGGAGTAGCAACCCTGTCCAGTGATGTTCATTGTTGCGTCACACCCCACCCCACTGGTGTGCATGAAATTTAATGCAATCTGCTGGTAGGTCAGCCCAAAAGCTACAGTTCCATAATGCAACAGGCACTGCAGCGAGAAAGCAACAACAGGAAATGGGATAGTGGCACCAGTGTTATAATCGGGGAAACCAACACAGTACTTCCCATGTCTGAATGCACCTTCAGACTTAAGGCTCATTCAATGCATTTTGCTGCCCAATGCAAAGGCCAAGATAGCAACCCACCCACCCCTATTCCACCTACCACCCTTCCAGCTCAGTCGGTAGCGCATGGGACTCTTAATCACAGGGTTGTGGGTTCAGTCCCCACATTGGGCAAAATATTGTTGCAGGGGGTTGGACGAGATGACCCTCAGGGTCCCTTCCAACTGTACAATTCTGAGATGCTACTAAAGTGGCCCAGGCACACCGTCCTCTCCTTCAGAATCTCTCTGCCACTCTCTTAGCAATGGCAGCCTGAGGAGGCTTGCTCACTCTGCCTAATGGCAGGACTGGCCCTGAAGCTAAAGGAGCATGAAAACGTGCCTCCTCCCCTACCTGTAGCTTCCAGGCATGCCAGACAGGAACTTGGCTCTGGTGAGCCTATGGCCTGGCCTTTGTCCAGCCCAGCCTTTGCAAAGGAAAAAACAACTCTAGCCTCATAACTGAGCAAGGAAGTTGAAGCAGGGGTGCAGTGTCCTGATTTCAGGTGAATCATGGGGGCTGGTGTGTATCAGGTATTTTTCAGCAAAGGTGTGTTTTCCCCCCCGTTCCATCTGGTTCTTTCCCATGTGACTAATGGGAAACCTCTGATTTCTGCTATTAATAATGGTATTTGAGCCATATGTTCAGAGGCCCATCCGGCAGGTATTGTTGCAAAGAGCCACCTGTGACTCATTCTGGCTTCATCAGGTGGTGAGTAAAATCTGTTTGCCTGCGTGGGTGAGTTGCAACACGGCTGCTGTAACAATTTGCATATGTCCGTGAGACAAACGGCCCTGGGATTCATCAGAGATCTCTGGCGTTTCTCCCTCTTGCCTGCCAAACAGGAAAGAAGCAGCCAAGATAAATTCCAAGGAGTGGCTGATCCAAAATACATTAATTTGTCAACCCCTTCACCTCCCGCCCCCCCTGCCCCCCCCCGACACTTGTACTTCCTGCAAAAGGAGGATATTACATGTAAATTAAATCAAACTTATTTTGACTCATAAATGTACATTTAATGCAACAACTATGCATGAGCTCGGAGGCATTTTTCTGTTATATTTATGCCTGTCAAACAAAGGAAGAATTTTTGCTGATCTCTTTATCTCTTTGCCGTTTGCTGCTTTAGTGAGATACGAGAACCAAAATACCCTCCAGAAATAAGCGCACATCCAACATTCTCAGTCTGCTAAAGCAGGACCCCTTGTGCTTAGTGGATGGAGGAGTTCAAACGTTGCACAACGAAGGGATACATTTAAAGCACATGACTCGCCCTCCCCCCCCCCGAATCCCGAGAACTGTAGTTTTCCCTTCACACAGCTACCATTTCCAGCAGCCCTTAATGAACTACAGTTCCGACACTTCTTTGAGGGGATTCATGTTCTTTAAATGTGTGTTGGATGCGCTTTAAATGTATATTGTGGATTTTGCCCCTCCTGCCTCCATTGCAGCATCATTTCACACGCACAGGTCACATCCATGCTATGCGCATTTCAGCACATTTGAAGTAAATGGCTGCAGTCTGTTAAGGATGCTGGGAATTGTAGCTCTGTGCGGGGTAAACTGTAGTTCCCAGGATCCATTGGGGAAGCTATTAAAGTGGCATCCATGTGCTTTAATTGTATGGTGTGGAAGTGGGGAACTGGCTTCAAGTCTAATGTCAGCATGTCGCAGTGACCTGGTCTGCTCCCAACCACCCTTTCCGCTCCAGTGTGGTGTAGTGGTTAAGAGTGGTGGACTCGTAATCTGGTGAACCGGGTTTGCTTCCCCGCTCCTCCACATGCAGCTGCTGGGTGGCCTTGGGCTAGTCACACTTCTCTGAAGTCTCTCAGCCCCACTCACCTCACAGAGTGTTTGTTGTGGGGGAGGAAGGGAAAGAAGATTGTTAGCCCCTTTGAGACTCCTTAAGGGAAATGAAAGGCGGGATATCATCCAAACTCTTCTTCTTCTTCTTCTTCTTCTTCTTCTTCTTCTTCTTCTTCCAGGTATCTAGGAGATGCCATTTTAATCTCCCACACCATCCTCAACATAGTGTGCATGTGATCATAGACACGTAAACACATACACTTTCCAGTTGCAGCTCCATCACACCCACACAAAAACACCAGCTGCAGCTTTGTTACACACACACGCTCCACTGAAGATCCATTTTGCATGTGCGCACACACACGCAATGTTTATTCCCTCATCATCAGGTCTTACTGTACTGGCCTGAATATAAGCCTCGTTTTTTCCCCAAATTCCGACTGTGAAAAGTTAAAGTGTGGCTTATATTCGTGACCTTACAGTATGCAGCCAGGAGTGCAGGGCAAACAGTCCCCCGCCCTCTCCCCCAAGGCCGGGAAGGGAGAGAGTGAGGACAGGGAAAGGCCACAGGCACACAGCATGGCTCCCTCTCGCCCAGTATGCAGCCAGGAGCAGCTTAGCTTCGGGAATTGTCTCTCCTCCCCCCCCCCCCCGAATTTTAAAGGTGCGGCTTATATTCGGTTGCGGCTTATATTCGGGCCAATACGGTACTTTCACCCAACTAAGTTGCAAGTGCTTTGAATGGCTTCCTCTTGGAAGCGATGCCTGGAGCTGAGCATAGCAGCAACTTCTCCTTTGATACCAAGGAGGCTAAAAGGCCCACAGAAGACGAGTCCCTGCTTTGCTTCCCCCGCCTCCATGTCCCAGCAGAAATGCCACCTTGTCAAGTCTTGGAGAAGAGCCTCTATTCTAACTGCCATATTGTCTATGCACTTTAGGTGCTTTGAGCTCTCGTTTGTGAATCAATGCAGTTATACTTGAAGGTTCTCACTGTATATTAATATATTAACACTTCTCCATTTTGAGATGCTTTTTCATTATATTTATTTAGCAAGATTTATATACCGCTTAAGAGAATATATATATACTGGTTTTATATTTAACTTAGCAGTTTTTAAAACAGTTTCAAATTTTAATTACGAAATAGTGATGAAAACGGACATTTAAAACAAGTTGTATCTTGGTTCTTGAACAGAATGCGTTCTGGGAGTCCGTTTGACACCTGAAACCATTCCAAAAGCAAGGTGCGGCTTCCGATTGGCTGCAGGAGCATATATTAGGATAGGTAAAGGTAAAGGGACCCCTGACCATTAGGTCCAGTCGTGGCCGACTCTGCGGTTGCGGCGAGCATCCTGCAGCCAATTGGAAGCCGTGTAAGCCATGTCGGACGTTCAGCTTCCGAAAATCGTTCGAAAACCGGAACACTCACTTCCAGGTTTCGATCATTCGGGAGCCGATTTGTTCAGGAGCCAAGGCATTTGAGATCCAAGATATGTCTGTATAGCACTTTCAAAATATAAATGAAACTGACGGAATTTGAGAGGAAATATGCATAATACATTATATTCCTGGGTATTATTTATCGTCTTTACGCCTGGTCCCCACTCTCTTGCTGGGAGATGTAGTTGGAGACAGGAAACTCCACTTTCACATAGGCTGCTGGGATTTGTAGTTTCAGGTTGCCTGTGAGGTCTGCAGCTCCTGCGTTGCTCAGGAAAAGAATCGCACACCCGTGTCAACTCTTTCTGGAGTCTGTGGGTTTTTTGCAGGGAGGTCGAGCTGCCTAAGAGAGGAGGCCAGAGGTGGCTATGGAGAGGCAATGGGATGTTCATTTGCAGCAGCAGCGGCGGCACTGGCTCATCCTCCTCCCCGAGCTCAGCAGTGGCGCTGGAGGGCAAAATCGGGGTCTAATCAGAAGGCAGCATGGCTTTGTAATTCTGGGACCATCCCAGGAAAATCGGGGCAGTTGGAGGGTATATTGCTAATCTCTGGAATTGAACATTGGTTTTGCCAGCCTTGGCAATGCCGTTTAGTAAAACAGAGCAGCAGAGAAATGGGGAAGAAGGTATCCCTTGATAAGGGTGGGAGGCTGATTTTGCTGCTTAAGGGCAGGATATCTGCTAGGGCTGCTCCAGTCTTCAGTCTCCCAGGCTGGGGATTATCCAACAGCTGCGGAAATGAAACCCAAGATGCAAGCATGGGCTGAATGGAGGATTTTGTGTCCTCATCCTTGAAGTAAAACAGATGTCTATGGATATATGTACACATGCATATGTACAAAAGTGTGTGTGTGCACATTTACTGCCTAGCCCATAGAGTGCAGATTAGCCCATTAGGGCAAAGGGTGCATTCCACCAGCAATCTCTTATCTTCCCAGAGGCGATGGAGGTGAGAGGAGCACTGCTGGATTTAAGAAGGCTGGTCTGGATAGTTCTGTAACCGTACCCAGCAGCTTTCTTGGGTTTTCAGGAGATTCTTCAAGGTTCCTGATAAGAGGCCCACACAGCGCCTATTGTAAGGTCTCCAGCTGAATTCTACTCCACAGGCATGTAAGCCTCCCTCAGGTTATCAGTTTCAGCTTCTCATTTTTCCAATCTTAAATTCACTTCTGCACATTTCCACATCAGTTTGCGCACTCTCTCTCTTCATGAAAATTCTTCAGAATTTTAGTGCAAATTTCTCCTGATAAACACATTTGTAGGTGATTTTTCCTAATATGCACATTCCCGCCCAACCAAGTTCCCTTGATATAACACATTTTTGTTATGTGTTTTTCACACATGTATTTTTATGCACACTTATCCTAATATATCTCCTGCCAAACTAGCAGTTCGTAGGCATGTCAAAGTGCAAGTAGATAAATAGGTACCGCTCCGGCGGGAAAGTAATCAGCGTTTCTGTGCACTGCTCTGGTTCGCCAGAAGCAGCTTAGTCATGCTGGCCACATGACCCGGAAGCTGTACGCCAGCTCCCTCAGCCAATAAAGCGAGATGAGCGCCGCAACCCCAGAGTCGGCCACGACTGGACCTAATGGTCAGGGGTCCCTTTACCTTTACCTATCCTAATATATGCATTCTGATTCACTTCACGTGGCAAGAGAACTGCATTGCAAAATTTGGAGAAGAGCGAATTTTGAAGAATTGTTGTTCTTTTGCTCACATGTTGTTCTGTAAAGTGCAAATTAGGAGGCTTGTCTTTAAATGTGGGTTGAATCCAAGGTGTTCCTCAGAGCAAACTCTCCACAGGGAATCTTTTGATACTGCTCACAAGCAAGTGGGTGTTCTTGTTCCTTGACTGTCCCCTGAGCCCGAAGCTCCAGAGGGCAAGGT